CGGGGTATGGACATGTGGTCCCCTCTAAATTCTGGGTTCCCCCATTCCCAGTCTTCCTCGCCAAGTCTCCAAAGGAGTAGTGCACACTTGTGACATCCGTAAGTTTACACTCGGTGCTTTCACAGCTTACACTGTAGCAGCTCTTTCTACTGCAAAGACAGAGACTTTTTTTTTTAAGATTTATTTATTTATTTATACAAGCACTGGGTACAGTCAGAAGCGCAGGAGAGTGAGAGAATTCACCAGAGCCAGAGCAGGGAGCAGAACAGGCAGACTGATGAAACACACTGCTGAGGGGAGCAACAGGAGGAAGGAGAGGTCTGTACGCCATGTGGGACCCTTGCCGGTCGGTGGCCGGGGATCAAACTGGTGCTGTAGAGGCTGCGGGCAGCTTCGCAGCCCAGTGCTCAACCCCTGTGCCAGCGGGGAGGCCCAAGACAGAGACTCATTAAAGTTACTTCAAATGAAGGAAAGTTTATTTAACAACACACTTGCAAATAAGGAAAATGGGATTTTTTCCACCATTAGCTAAGAAGCTATGGCTAGGGTGGCAGGAGTGGTGTGGAGGTGCCCATAGGAGGAACTGGAGACTCAAAAAAATGCTAATAATAATGACATGCTAATAATAACATGGAGCTTACGGTGGTCAGTCACAGTAGCAAATCTTTTTATGTATTAATTCGTTCAATCCTTACAACAATCTTAGGAGGTAGGTTCTGTTATTGAAATCCCCATTTTTACATGAGAGAACTGAGGTATATGGAGGTGGGGGCGCAGCAATAGCACATACCAGACACTAGACAATAGTGACATGTGGGTGCGGATGCTTTGACCCCCAAGTCCCATTATGTAACACACTTCTGTATGTTGTCCTTCCAGGAACTGGGAAGAAGGCAACTTGAGGTGACTGTGTTATCCTGTGTCCCCCCAGGAGCACAGGTCAAGGGCACTTGCTCAGGATATGGCCACTGAGTGGCTCTGATTTGCTCTGCTGTGCTCTTCCCACTGGTTCATGATATGAGCTTGCTATAGATGTATTTTTAATTTCCAAGAGAACCTGATGCTCAGCTAATTGTCCTTGTCCCTCTTTGAAAAGATCACTTTTGGAGGCCACATCACAGACTCGACTGGTCAAGGGTCTGTCAGTCAGATGCCCACTTGGCCCAATCATCTGTAGTCACGTTGAGAGGACAGTGGACCTGGCAGCCCCTGAAGGCTTCCCGCCTCTCCAATGCAAAGAGAACTTGGAACTCCTGTCTCCTTCCACTCCTGGCAGGATACTTCTATGCGTATCTATGCGTATACTTCAAATTCTATGCGTGACATTAACCCCAACTAGGACACGGGAATTGTTAGCTGTCACCTCTAGGGGTGTGATTTCCTTGGCTAATGTCTTGTTCTTAGATTTGGGGTCTCATGTTTCTCTGAAACCTATAGCTTGCTGCCTTTGTCTTTCTGAACGTGCGCTAGGCTCTGTCTCCTTCCTCTCCCCCAGCCCCCACTCAATCCTCAATCTACCTGCCACTGAATCCAGAGTGTTTTTTCCTTAAATACTACTTACTCCCTTCACTCCTGACTCAAAAACCTTTGGTAGCTGCTTAAGCCTTGGTGTCTCTCTGCTTGCTTTCTGGTCTACCCCCTTCCCAAATATTTCAGACTAACAGGGTCAGTCTCCTTGTTTTCTACAAATGTTCCATGGCTCTTCCCACCCCCAAGCCTCCATTTGTGGAGCTGTCCCAGCCTGGACGTGCTCACCTTTCTCTTCTGCTGTCCAGTCTCACCTCTGCCTCAAAGATGACCCTGCCTGACCCATCTTCACTCTCATCTCTGCTCTGATCTCCACAGCACTTAGCAACTGTGACAGTTTAACCCATCACACACTTTCTTGTTACTCCATATATGTTTGTCCTGGTTCCACAGCTAGATTATCAGTTTCTGGATGGAGAAGTAGAAAAGGATGGAATTAACTCGTTTGAATATTTACAGCATGTTAGGCACTGAAGTAGTGCTTAGCATATACAATCTTATAACAGCCCCAGGCCACAGGTCCATTATCTTGATTTTATTTTAGAGGTGTAGTTTTGAGGTTCAGGGAGATTAAGTAACTAGCTCAGGGTGACAGAGGTGGTAGGTTTTGGGACTGGCCCTGAACTCAAATTGATTTATCAGATTTGTCACAAGGCAGATCTTCATTGTGATACTTTTATGTGTTTGTTATATTCCTCAGTGCCTCCTATTTCAGCAAGGACTCAATAAATACATTAAATTTGGAGTATCAAGTGGAGTCCCTGTACTTTGTATTCATTCATTCATGCGTGCACTTAATAATTTCACTGGACACCAGCTATGAGCCAGACACTGTCTTAGACACTGAAGACACAAAGCACTATCTTTACTCACCCAAAGAAGTGAGATGTGTGCAAATAATTGATACACAAATGTGTTAGTGATCCATAGTTCTGTAAAATTGACCAAAAACTTAGTATTTTAATACACATTTATTTTTTTTAAAGGCTTATTTATTTATACATACAAGAACTGGGTACAGGCCAGAGTTGTGGGGGGTGAGAGGATTCACCAGAGACAGAGTGGGGAGCAGAACAGGCAGACTGACTGAAATACACTGCTGAGGGGAGCAGCGGGTGAGACAGGAGAGGTCTGCTGCACCACATGGGTAGCTCCCTGGCTGGGGATCGAATTCATGTGCAGTGGCTGCCCATAGCTTCATAGTGCTGTGACGTAACCCCTTGAGCCACCAGGGAGGATTGGGTTCTGCTTCTTATTGGCTGAAGGCCAGAGGCTGCTCTTAACTTTTAGAGGCTGCCTGCTGGTCTTTGCCATGGGGCCACTTCATTGACGCCCTCTGGAGAGTCTCAGAGTGAGTTTGCTCACAAGGGGAGCCCTATACAGTGTAACAGGTCACTGAAGTGACAACCCATCTGCTTTATCATATAACATAATCCAGTCACAGAAGTGCTATTCCATTCCCTATGCATAGAATATAACCCAATTATGGAAGTGAGTTCCCCCCTTTTGCCATATATCACTACCCAGTTATGGAAGTGACATCTCATCCCCTTTGCCATATTCCATTAATTAGAAAAGTATCACAGTTTTTGATTTGTGTGAGCCCTGCTCACACTCAAGAGGATCACACAGACAAGCATACGAGAGGGGAGGATTATGGAGAAGCTGTCCTAGAGTCTCTCTACCACAAAAGCAATGAATTGTGTGCCAGGTGGGTGGTACAGACAACAGGTGCTGCAGGGCTTGGAGGAATGTTCTTTTTTTGTTGTTTTTTATTGTTTTTTTTTTGTTGTTGTTGTTTTGCTTTTAATAAAGCAATGGCAAAGGGAAAATACTTTTTAAATTTTTATATATATTTTTTACATCATTTTTCATTTTTGCACAATATATGCATTTTCATCTTGGTTATAGGCCCCAAACAATTCCCACCACCCTTGTTTTGATCCTACTCCCTTCTTTCCTCCCTCCCCTTCCCACCCCCAGTGTGTCTCCGGTTTATAGTTGCTTGTTGATTTTGATTTTTACTTTATTATAATTAATCTTTTTCCTGGTCCCTTATTTAGCCAGAAAGAAAAAGAAAAATACTGGATGGTCTCACTCGTAGCAGGAATTTGGAGGAATGTTCTTCCCGTCGTCTGGCTCCATGGGCACAGTGGCCTCGCCGCTGGTGAGGTGATGCCACCCTGAGCGCTCCTGTTTTAATATGAGACTGGGAGAGATGGGAGTTACCATCAGTTCCCAGACAATATGGAGGTATTGGATCCCGATCTCTGCTGTGCAAGCCACAAACACCAGCCTGGTTCAAAAGGAGGTTGTAACAAACATAGGGGAACAGGTGTTTTTTTGAATCAATGTTTTTGTGCCCTTTGGTTGGATATCTAGGAGTGGAATTGCTGGGTCGTATGGCAGCTACATTTTCAGTCAACTGAGGAACCTTCAGACAGTTTTCCATAGTAGTTGGACCAGTTTGCACTCCCACCAGCAATGTAGGAGAGTTCCTTTTTCACGACACCCTCACCAACATTTGTTGTTGCTAGTTTTGTTGATATGTGCCATTCTCACTGGTGTAAGATGGACAATAGGTAAAACCTGGAAACAACACAAATGCCCCAAAATAGATAACTGGATCAAGAATATGTGGCATATATACACAATGCAATATTATTCAGCAATCAGAAAAGATAAACTCATGCCATTCACAGCAACGTGGATGGAACTAGAAGGAATTATGCTCAGTGAAATAAGCCAGAAGGAAAAAGAAAAATATCGGATGGTTTCACTTATAGCAGGAATATAGGGGAACCAAATAAGGCATCAGGTTAAAAAAATAATAATCGTACAAAACACAACAAAGCAAAAATGGACAATTATAAATGAGAGACATCCTGCAGGGGAGGAGGAGGGAGAGGGATCAGAGGGAGGAAGGGAGGGGTACAGGGCACTGAGGTGATGGTGCACAGGTGCATTGGGGAGGGAAATTCTATGGGGACTACACCTGAGGAGGTGGGGGGAGCAAATATTGTTTAAAAATGAACAATGATGTAAAAAACAATTAATGTCAGGAACCAAATCACGACTTCCCAGTCAAGAAGAGGGGGCCAGGCTGCGGCGCTGGTGGGGCTGCACAGGTTGGAGGAAGGAGACTGAGAAGGCTGAGGTGAGTCTGAGATGAGGTGGCCCAAGGCGCACTGGTCAGAGCTGCTGAGGATGGCTGAGGAAGTGATCCACTGAGTCCTTTCTCTAACTTGGGACAAATTGTCTTTTAATAGTGAAGCACTCCTAGAAACAAAGAAATCCTTAGTGTACGTTGTTGAATCTCCCACTGGCCATGTAGCAGCAGACACAGGTTAATGGAGCAGTGGCCCTCCATGACCCTGATACAGACACCTCAGTGTGTGTGTGTGTGTGTGTGTGTGTGTGTGTGTATAGTGTAGTGTAAGCACATGTGGCAAGGAAAATGAGCTGGATCATACCTGTCCAGCAAATCACTGGCATCCTAGAAGAGAGAGAAGTGTGGGAATCACAATCAGTTCTCAGGTTCCTGCCACCTGCATATTCCCTCCCTGGTATACCCGCTATTGGATGCCACTGGGGTGTTGTATCAGAACTGGAAGGGACAGCACCCCTCCTTGCACGCCACTCTGCAACAGCTGCATTGTACAGCCTTGGACAAGCCACCACCACACTTCACAGAGAAGCCTCTTCTTCCACCTCCCAGAAAGATACCACAGGTGGCTGCCTACTGTGTTGGAGGATCCCAGTCTTTGGAAGGTACCTCAGGGCATGTACCTTCAGCTTGCTGGCATCCAGATTCTTGACCATCCACTCCAGATCAGTGAGCAGACTGCACAGATGTGCTTTCAGGGAGCTGGATGCCTCTGTTGGTATGTCCTCTGGCTGGTCTGGCCACTGCTGAGAGAAGGCATCTGGCCGTCTCCTGGCTTGGTGTTGGTTGTCTAGCTCAGCCTCCAGCCTGTGGGTGCCACAGTCTACCTGAAACTACAACAAAAGGATGCCCTAAGATTCAATGTCAGATTGCTCCCTCTGGCCCTTCAGTCTCTGAATATTATGATTGAGAATATGGCCTTCTCAGTCTCTTCCCTCGTGGTGTTGCTTCTGCCACCACAGGTCACAGAGACACCTCCCCTCCCTGCTTCACTTTCTTGTGAATATTCACAAAAGCCATGCCACACGTGGTGGGCACAACCTCCCACACCCACTCAGCTCTATTCTCTCACTATCCCTTCAGGTCTTAGGGTGAGGAGAGACCCCAGATGTAGCTGAGCAAGAGACACAGAAAGCCAGACCGTTAAACACAGAGGTAGAGATGTGCAGACTAAGTAGTAATTTTAAATTGATGTGCTGTTGATCTTTGATCCTCCCAGGAGCCAGGGGGAGCAGGACTGGCTTTCACTGAACATGTGAAGCACAGGAAGACCAGGCTTGACATGCCCCAGGTCACTCAGCCAGCAACCCCCAAAGCTAAGCCCAGCACCCAGGTTTCCAGCTTCCAGGACCTCCCACATCCCCCCTTCAACATTCCCCAGAGAGATGGATTGTCAGAATTTGGCACAAGAGCCCTGAGACCCCCAGAGGTGGTCCTTTCCAGAACCCCACAAATCCCACCTGCACAGCCTGCTGTTTCTCCTCCTCCTGAGCGCTGGACTGTGGATGTTTTCTAGTTAGATCCCCCAAGGCCTTTTTGACCTTCCTGATCTTGCGGGAGAGTCTTTCCTAGAGAAAGAGAAACATGTTTGTCAGATTGGGGGTGAGGGCAGCACTCACTGAAGCCCCTCTCCACAGCGTGGTGGGGGCCCTGGTCCCAGGTGAAGCTAGGGTCAGTCTGCCTACAGTCGGCAGCCCTTGAACTGTCATGCTTCCAGGAACATGAGAGATGCTTAATGGTTAACAATGTAGGAAAAGCAGTGGGTATTATTAGTTTTACACACACACACACAAAAAAACTTTTCACTTCATTTTTGGATGGTCCCCCTTCTACACCTGTAATTGTGTGCTGGTCTCTAGCAGTTCTTACTATTTCACATCAACAGGTGAAGCCAGTCTGGAAAGAGTGACTTATAGTGAAGATGCAAAACCTCTGGGCACCCCCCATCCTGGCTGGGATGGACAAGGGCCCCCATACATCGGAAGAAGAGCCACAGCTCACGTAGGCAGGTGAGCTCTCTAAACGTAGATCAGTGTCTGCATCGGTCAAGGTGCCTCTGAAGCTAAGGATATCATGGATAATCTCAACTTCTAAAGATTTGGCTTTCAAATAGGGAACCAAAAAAAACCCCACACTGTTATTGATATGAAAACAGACCTTTAATCAAAGTGGAAGAAAGGGGTGGGGTGGAGGGCAGTGTCAACAAATGACTCTGGAAACATTTTTGTCTATTTTTGTTAATTACTTACAAAATGTATTTGATCTTAACCAAATAAAGAGGCATAGAATGCACAGTACTAAAACAGTGTGGTACCGGCACAAAACAAAACAGAAAAGGCAGGAGAAAGCACATGGGGACGGACCCATGTTTACAAAGGATATTAAAAAGTCAAAAGCAGTATTGCATCAGTGAGAGTAGGAGTAGAACCTGGAGAAGATGGTGTTGAGAAAATTGGCTTATTATAATAAGGAAAAATAAAGCTGTGGCTTGTGGGTAGGGAAAGATTTCTTCACACAAAACTCCAAAAGCACAAACCATCAGGAAATTACTTTATTTGGTTACATTTAAGTGAAATATTTCTGTTAAATGACACCACCATGGGCAAAATTAACAGAGTAATGACAGACTAGGTGATGTCTTCGATGTCTAAAACCAGAGGCTTAAAGGTAGACACCTATAATAATTGAAACCTTCAAATAAACAAGAAGAAAGGAACCCAAGAGAAAAATCTGCAGAGTATGAACAGTTACAGGCATATTTCAGAGATATCATGGGTTTGGTTCTAGACCACAACCTCAAAGCAAATATAGCAATAAGTGAGCCACACAAATTTTTTGGTTTCCCAGTGTATATAAAAGTTATATTTATACTATATTGTAGTTCATTAAGTATGCAATAGCATAATTTCTAAAGAAACAACGTACAACCTTCACTAAGTATGACACAGAGATATAAAGTGAACACATGTTGTTGGAAAAAAGAGCAACAATAGACTTTCCCCACAGGGGTTGCCACAAAACTTTCATTTAAAATAAAATTCAATGTGAGGGGCCTCCCTGGTGACCCAGCACGATCAAGCTATCACCAGTCACTGCAGCACAAGTTTGATCCCAACCGGCCAGGGAGCTAACCCGCATATGGTACAGCAGACCCCTCTTGCCTCGCCTGCTGCTCCCCTCAGCAGTGAATCAGTAGATCCACCTGTTCGTCTCCTCACTCTGTCTCTGGTGAATCCTCTTGCCCCCCTGCATCTCAGGCTTACACCCCAGTTCTTGTATGCATATGGGGGTTAACTCCCTGGCCAACTGGGATCTAACTCGTGCTTCGGTGGCTGGCGGTAGCTTGATAGCACAGTGTCTTTAACCCCACAGAAATATTTTATTGGGAGGTCCCAATAAAAATAAATCTTTTTAAAAAAATTCAATGTCAGTGAAGTGGTGTGAAGTCTGTGTGGAATGCCTTTAATTCGCGTAAGAGGGAGAATGAACACCTAAAGAGACTGTGAGTCAATGCCCAAACTTACCTGTGATTAGAGAAATATAAAGTAACAAACAATAAATGAAATAGTATTTCACACCCATCACATGAATAAGAATTAGACAACTGGCCACGCCTGGGGGCTGGGAGTGTTTGCAGACATAAGGTCTCCTCTGCAGGCCAGTGACAGTCTGGAGTCCAGCCACCTAGTGGACTCTCCTCTGTGACTCAGGGGCCCTGCTTCCTACTAATTACCCTAGAGAGAACCTCATTTAGGTGCCAGAGGAATCTGAAGGGTAGGCAGATCCCACCATGGGATACTATGCAGCTGTCAGAAACAAGGGGCCATGAGACTTGCACATGGACTGATCTTAAAAGCACGGTAGACTCATCTGAGGGCAGAAACCCTCTTTTATAAAAAATAAACAAAGATGTTTAAAAAATGGCAGAGAGGACAAGTGGGAAATAGAATAGAATGAGGCCTATCATATAATTTTGTTAACTCCATATACAAGCACAGAATACATCAATCTGTGTTTTTCCAAACAGTCTACAAATAAATGGACAGCACAGACTTTAAATGGTTGCTCCTGAAGGGAAGGAATAGCGATTAAATGAAGCAAACTAGTAAAACACAAAAGCGAATTTGTAGACTACAGCTAAGGATGTGAATATTCACTAAATCCTTGCTGCCTCAGATCAAAAAGTATAAAGAGATTTTGTATTTTTGGCTATTTATGAGGAATATTTATTTTATTATTTTTTAAACCTCATTTCCTCTCATAAGCTCTTAAAATACAACACTTTGAAAAAAGAAGGGTCCCACATCTCCAGAGACAAACAGGAAGAGGGGGGTTGGAGGAGAGACTTTGAAAGTCCCTAGTTTCTGTGGATGAACTCAAGGTCAAAGGACGGTGGGCGATAGAGGAGTGAAGACATCAGGCAAACAAAAACCTCAGTGAGCAGAGGAGACAGTTATGTCACTAGGGAGTCATTAAGACTTTGTCAGTCACTGGGTGTTACCTGCAGGCATTTCCCAGCAGAGAAGGAGGGAGACACCCAGAGGAGGAGTGGGCGGCAGTAAATGGCACAGTTTCTACTCATGGTCTTGATGGGAAAAAGGAAGGTTGGGTTGGTCTAGGGAATTAATTGTTTGTGTGAGCACGAAAGTTCAGGTCTCACAAACTCACACATGCAAACAAAACACCTTTATTTTGCTGTCTCATCAACCTACTCTTTTTCTCCATCCGCACAACTGAATTTCTCCTGTGAATAGTTAATTCCTGCTGTCTTCAGTTCCCGCACGGTCCCCCTGACTCCTCAGCCACCTGCTTCATTTCTCATTACTCTTGAAACTTCTCAGCCCAGGTCACCAGTGATCTCCAGAATAAAATCAGAAGTGTTTTCTTCTCAGGTCTCCATCTCTCTGAGGCACATCTACTTTCCACTCCCACCCCATGCTCCCTGCCCCCACCTCACCTCTCTCCTGACCTTCCAGACGTGTTTTCTTTTTCTATTTCTAAACTATGTCTTTCAGGATGCCTGCACAACTATTTTATTGCAGCACTATTTACAATAGGTAAGATATGAAAACAATCTAAATGCCCAAAAACAGATGACTGGATCAAGAAGATGTGTTATGTATACACAATGGAATACTATTCAGCAATCAAAAAGGATAAACTCATGCCATTTGCAGCAGCATGGATGCAGCTGGAAGGGATTATGCTCAGTGAAATAAGTCAGAAGGAAAAAGAAAAATATTGGATGATTTCACTTGTAGAGGGAATACAGAGGAACCAAATAAAAAAGGATCAGAAAAAAAAAATAAAACAAACTAACAGGCAACTATAAATCAGAGTCTTTCTGCAGGAGAGGGGCAAGGAGAGGAGGGAGCAAAACAGTGAAGGAAGAGCACAAGGGTCTATGGTGATGGTTCATGGGTGAATTGATGGTGGGAATTTTATGGGGACTACACCTGAGAGGAGAAATCAAACACTGAACAAAACGAATAATGTAAAATATATATATACATAAATAAATATTAAAACAAAAACAAAAAAATGATGTCTTTCATTTCCATCCTTACGGTTTCATCTTGTCATAATTCCCAAACCAGAATCAGCCTGGAGAAAACAAACTTATCACCCCCTCCTCACCCTCTTCTGCAACACATTACTCTTGATCCCATGTTTCTGCCATTGGACACACCATTCTGCTGCCAGCCAACTCAAAATCTCGGGTTTCCTCTTTCAGAGATGTCTGTGTTACTCTTCTCTTCAAAGTGGCTTCCATGACAAAAGATAAACCCAAACTCCCTAACCCAACATCCAAAGCTCCCTTCACCTGACCCCACCCAGTTTCCCTCTCCAGTGCTGCCTGTCCCCTCTCTGCACCCCCATGCTCTGTGTGCCAGGCAGACAGAACTGCCATTTCCTGACCACACCCATGGCACCACTCTGCTCATGCCTTCTTTTGTGCTTCCCTCTGCTAGCAGTGATGTAGATTTCAGCCTGTCAAAATCAGGTGTTCTTAAGATCCAGTTCAAAAAGCCACAGTCTGGGCCTCCCCAGTGGCGCAGCGGTTGAGTGCTGGGTTGTGAAGCTGCCGCGGCAGCCTCTGCAGCGCCAGTTCGATCCCCGGCAGTGCCAGTTCGATCCCCGGCAGCGCCAGTTCGATCCCCGGCAGCGCCAGTTCGATCCCCGGCAGCGCCAGTTCGATCCCCGGCAGCGCCAGTTCGATCCCCAGCCGGACGAGGGTCCCCCATGGCGGACAGACCTCTCCTGTTGCCTGCTGCTCCCCTCAGCAGTGTATTTTGTCCATCTGCCTATTCTGTTCCCTGCTCCTGCTCTGGTGAATTCTCTCACCCTCCCAGGCTTCTGACTGTACCCAGTGCTCGTATAAATAAATAAATAAATAAATCTTAAAAAAAAAAAAAAAAAAAAAGCCACAGTCCTATCTTCTTGTGTAGTTTAAAATTTAATAAAGAGGTTGATGTCAACTTCAAACTGTACAAATGAAAACAGAAAGCAAAGATCACAGCAATAAAGATAAATGCATGAACTAATCAAAGATAAAGCAGTGCTATCA